CGTTATAATTCTATAACTGTGCAAATTGTAATACAAAATTTCAAGTGAAATTTTTAATTCTCGCACGTTTTGTTTATTTGCGAAAAAAAAAATAATAAAATTGAAATAAATTTCGATAATTTCCCTTATTTTTTGTAGTAAAACATCATACATTTATAAATAAAAATACATTATTTATAATCAATGTAAATCTGTTTATTTTATTCCCTACATCTTCGAAGGTATATAAAATTTTGTCATTTTGTTTGCAATTTCCACAAATATTTTTGCAACCTTAATAAGTACATATACATTTTAAATATTAAAAGACAGAGACAAAATTCCTAGATACTTTTGAGATCCCAACCTACTCTATAATCTATTCTATCGTCTAGTTTTTAATCTAGTCTATAGTCTAATCTATAGTCTAGTCTATAGTCTAGTCTATAGTCTAGTCTATAGTCTAGTCTATATTCTAGTCTATAGTCTAGTCTATAGTCTAGTCTATAGTCTAGTCTATAGTCTAGTCTATAGTCTAGTCTATAGTCTAGTCTATAGTCTAGTCTATAGCCTAGTATATAGTCTAGTCTATAGTCTAGTCTATAGCCTAGTCTATAGTCTAGTCTATAGTCTAGTCTAGTCTGTAGTCTCTCTATAGTCTAGTCTATAGTCTAGTCTATAGTCTAGTCTATAGTCTAGTCTATAGTCTAGTCTATAGTCTAGTCTATAGTCTAGTCTATAGTCTAGTCTATAGTCTAGTCTATAGTCTAGTCTATAGTCTAGTCTATAGTCTAGTCTATAGTCTAGTCTATAGTCTAGTCTATAGTCTAGTCTATAGTCTAGTCATAGTCTAGTCTATAGTCTAGTCTATAGTCTAGTCTATAGTCTAGTCTATAGTCTAGTCTATAGTCTAGTCTATAGTCTAGTCTATAGTCTAGTCTATAGTCTAGTCTATAGTCTAGTCTATAGTCTAGTCTATAGTCTAGTCTATAGTCTAGTCTATAGTCTAGTCTATAGTCTAGTTATAGTCTAGTCTATAGTCTAGTCTATAGTCTAGTCTATAGTCTAGTCTATAGTCTAGTCTATAGTCTAGTCTATAGTCTAGTCTATAGTCTAGTCTATAGTCTAGTCTATAGTCTATCTATAGTCTAGTCTATAGTCTAGTCTATAGTCTAGTCTATAGTCTAGTCTATAGTCTAGTCTATAGTCTAGTCTATAGTCTAGTCTATAGTCTAGTCTATAGTCTAGTCTATAGTCTAGTCTATAGTCTAGTCTATAGTCTAGTCTATAGTCTAGTCTATAGTCTAGTCTATAGTCTAGTCTATAGTCTAGTCTATAGTCTAGTCTATAGTCTAGTCTATAGTCTAGTCTATAGTCTAGTCTAGTCTAGTCTATAGTCTAGTCTATAGTCTAGTCTATAGTCTAGTCTATAGTCTAGTCTATAGTCTAGTCTATAGTCTAGTCATAGTCTAGTCTATAGTCTAGTCTATAGTCTAGTCTATAGTCTAGTCTATAGTCTAGTCTATAGTCTAGTCTATAGTCTAGTCTATAGTCTAGTCTATAGTCTAGTCTATAGTCTAGTCTATAGTCTAGTCTATAGTCTAGTCTATAGTCTAGTCTATAGTCTAGTCTATAGTCTAGTCTGTAGTCTTGTCTGTAGTCTTGTCTATAGTCTAGTCTATAGTCTAGTCTATAGTCTAGTCTATATCTAGTCTATAGTCTAGTCTATAGTCTAGTCTATAGTCTAGTCTATGGTCTAGTCTATAGTCTAGTCTATAGTCTAGTATATAGTCTAGTCTATAGTCTAGTATATAGTCTAGTCTATAGTCTAGTCTATAGTCTAGTCTATAGTCTAGTCTATAGTCTAGTCTATAGTCTAGTCTATAGTCTAGTCTATAGTCTAGTCTATGGTCTAGTCTATAGTCTAGTCTATAGTCTAGTATATAGTCTAGTCTATAGTCTAGTCTATAGTCTAGTCTATAGTCTAGTCTATAGTCTAGTCTATCTATAGTCTAGTCTAGTCTAGTCTATAGTCTAGTCTATAGTCTAGTATATAGTCTAGTCTATAGTCTAGTCTATAGTCTAGTATATAGTCTAGTATATAGTCTAGTCTATAGTCTAGTCTATAGTCTAGTCTATAGTCTAGTCTATAGTCTAGTCTAGTCTATAGTCTAGTCTATAGTCTAGTCTATATCTAGTCTATAGTCTAGTCTGTAGTCTAGTCTATAGCCTAGTCTATAGTCTAGTCTAGTCTATAGTCTAGTCTATAGTCTAGTCTATAGTCTAGTCTATAGTCTAGTCTATAGTCTAGTCTATAGTCTAGTCTATAATATAGTCTAGTCTATAGCCTAGTCTATAGCCTAGTCTATAGTCTAGTCTATAGTCTAGTCTATAGTCTAGTCTATAGTCTAGTCTATAGTCTAGTCTATAATCTAGTCTATAGTCTAGTCTATAGTCTCTAGCTACTAACTATCCAATATTACTTACCTTGGATATCGGAAGACATTTATTTTAAAAGTTGGGTCACTGAACCACGAAATTGCCCATATATGAAAAAATTCATCACTTTATACTATAAAGTGCGAAACTATAAAGTTTATAGTTTCGCATTGAGTGGGTTTAAGATAAATTTTGTGTTTTATTTATTTAGCCAACATACGGACTGTTTATTTTTATGTGGAAATATGTTAAGTGGAACATGTAGAATTTGTGGAATTAATGTTCATCATTAGCACTTTGTTTTTTCTTTTATTGTTGTTGTTGCTCTTGCTTTGTTTATTGATATGTATAACAAAGCGATCGATACGTAATATTTAATCAAAATACTAAAGAGAGAAACGCAACTAAACAAAACACAAAATAAAACTGGGTGAGACAGTTGTCAACGTCTATAGTCTAGTCTAGTCTGTAGTCTAGTCTATAGTCTAGTCTATAGTCTAGTCTATAGTCTAGTCTATAGTCTAGTCTATAGTCCTAGTCTATAGTCTAGTCGAGTAGTCTCTAGTCTAGTCTATAGTCTAGTCTATAGTCTAGTCTATAGTCTAGTCTATAGTCTAGTCTATAGTCTAGTCTATAGTCTAGTCCTATAGTCCTAGTCTAGTCTATAGTCTAGTCTATAGTCTAGTCTATAGTCTAGTCTATAGTCTAGTCTATAGTCTAGTCTATAGTCTAGTCTATAGTCCTAGTCTATAGTCTAGTCTATAGTCTAGTCTATAGTCTAGTCTATAGTCTAGTCTATAGTCTAGTCTATAGTCTAGTCATAGTCTAGTCTATAGGTCTAGTCTATAGTCTAGTCTATAGTCTAGTCGATAGGTCTAGTCTATAGTCTAGTCTATAGTCTATTCTATAGTCTGTCTATAGTCTAGTCTATAGTCTAGTCTATAGTCTAGTCTATAGTCTAGTCTATAGTCTAGTCTATAGTATAGTCTATAGTCTATAGTCTAGTCTATAGTCTAGTTCTATAGTCTAGTCTATAGTCTAGTCTATAGTCTAGTCTATAGTCTAGTCTATAGTCTAGTCTATAGTCTAGTCTATAGTCTAGTCTATAGTCTAGTCTATAGTCTAGTCTATAGTCTAGTCTATAGTCTAGTCTATAGTCTAGTCTATAGTCTAGTCTATAGTCTAGTCTATAGTCTAGTCTATAGTCTAGTCTATAGTCTAGTCTATAGTCTAGTCTATAGTCTAGTCTATAGTCTAGTCTATAGTCTAGTCTATAGTCTAGTCTATAGTCTAGTCTATAGTCTAGTCTATAGTCTAGTCTATAGTCTAGTCTAAGTCTAGTCTATAGTCTATCTGTAGTCTTGTCTGTAGTCTTGTCTATAGTCTAGTCTATAGTCTAGTCTATAGTCTAGTCTATAATCTAGTCTATAGTCTAGTCTATAGTCTAGTCTATAGTCTAGTCTATGGTCTAGTCTATAGTCTAGTCTATAGTCTAGTATATAGTCTAGTCTATAGTCTAGTATATAGTCTAGTCTATAGTCTAGTCTATAGTCTAGTCTATAGTCTAGTCTATAGTCTAGTCTATAGTCTAGTCTATAGTCTAGTCTATAGTCTAGTCTATAGTCTAGTCTATGGTCTAGTCTATAGTCTAGTCTATAGTCTAGTATATAGTCTAGTCTATAGTCTAGTCTATAGTCTAGTCTATAGTCTAGTCTATAGTCTAGTCTATGGTCTAGTCTATAGTCTAGTCTATAGTCTAGTATATAGTCTAGTCTATAGTCTAGTCTATAGTCTAGTATATAGTCTAGTATATAGTCTAGTCTATAGTCTAGTCTATAGTCTAGTCTATAGTCTAGTCTATAGTCTAGTCTAGTCTATAGTCTGTCTATAGTCTAGTCTATAGTCTAGTCTATAGTCTAGTCTGTAGTCTAGTCTATAGCCTAGTCTATAGTCTAGTCTAGTCTATAGTCTAGTCTATAGTCTAGTCTATAGTCTAGTCTATAGTCTAGTCTATAGTCTAGTCTATAGTCTAGTCTATAGTCTAGTCTATAGTCTAGTCTATAGTCTAGTCTATAATATAGTCTAGTCTATAGCCTAGTCTATAGCCTAGTCTATAGTCTAGTCTATAGTCTAGTCTATAGTCTAGTCTATAGTCTAGTCTATAATCTAGTCTATAGTCTAGTCTATAGTCTCTAGCTACTAACTATCCAATATTACTTACCTTGGATATCGGAAGACATTTATTTTAAAAGTTGGGTCACTGAACACGAAATTGCCAATATATGAAAAATTCATCACTTTATACTATAAAGTGCGAAACTATAAAGTTTATAGTTTCGCATTGAGTGGGTTAAGATAAATTTTGTGTTTTTATTTATTTAGCCAACATTACGACTGTTTATTTTTATGTGGAATATGTTAAGTGGAACATGTAGAATTTGTGGAATTAAATGTTATCATTAGCACCTTTGTTTTTCTTTTATTGTTGTTGTTGCTCTTGCTTTGTTTATTGATATGATAACAAAGCGATCGATACGTAAATATTTAATCAAATACTAAAGAGAGAAACGCAACTAAACAAAACACAAAATAAAACTGGGTGAGACAGTTTTCAACGAACTGTCATTTTGTAAGGTGAATGAAATCACGTAATTGAGTAACTGTTTAAAAATAGTAAAAAATATAAATAATTTTTGTGAAATAAACTAAAAAAAAGTAAACATGGCATCAAGTGATTTGGAAAAATCAGCACCGTTAGATGATGTGGATTTCACCAGCGGCTTTGAGACGCAATACGAACAAGAGTATCGTCCTCTTAAGCCACAAGTCATTGTACCCCGCACCCAAGATCCCAAAACCTTGTGGTATCGTGATTTACAAACCATAATAATGGTGTCATTTATTGTGGCCATATTTCTATTTGGCACCGTGCTGTTGACCAAATTGGTCTTCACCTCTAATCCCCTGTATGTGTTTGCCATCACGGCAATTTATGTGATTTTGGCCCTTGTAATGATTGTCATTGAAGTGAAGAGTATACATGTGCGTTGAGAGGAGTTCAGAGGAAATAAATAAACGTTAATTTTAAATTTTATGTGAATTTATTATTTGCTGATTTTGTATATATTTTTTTTTGTTTTAAAATTATATTTAAGTGTAGTGTTTAATTAGGCAGGAAAAATTTAATTAATGAGTTTATATAAAGATTATTTTGTAATAAATTTTTTGATTGTTTTAAAAATATGTTTATTAAAATATTTAAATTAATTAATAAATTATGTGCTATTTGTTAATTCAATTATTAAAGTATTCGTTAATAGGTGTGTTTCTAATGAAAATGTGTTCCATGTTTAAAAATTGAAGCAATTTGTTGACAAGGTTATTTAATTACTCAATGCATTATCAAATCGTAAAATATCGTTATAGTTCTATTTATTACTGCTAATATTTGTCATGTTCGTGGTTTTATGATAAAAATACTGCTTGATTTGTAAATTACACAATTATTATATATATTTTAGCACAGTGTTTAGTTTCTATATAAAATAAGTAAGAATTGTTTTAATGCAGAAATCAAATCGGAACTACTAACTACTAACTAACTAACTAACTAACTAACTAACTAACTAACTAACTAACTAACTAACTAACTAACTAACTAACTAACTAACTACTAACTAACTAACTAACTAACTAACTAACTAACTAACTAACTAACTAACTAACTAACTAACTAACTAACTAACTAACTAACTAACTAACTAACTAACTAACTAACTAACTAACTAACTAACTAACTAACTAACTAACTACTAACTAACTAACTAACTAACTAACTAACTAACTACTAACTAACTAACTAACTAACTAACTACTAACTAACTAACTAACTAACTAACTAACTACTAACTAACTAACTAACTAACTAACTAACTAACTAACTAACTACTAACTAACTAACTAACTAACTAACTAACTAACTAACTAACTAACTAACTAACTAACTAACTAACTAACTAACTAACTAACTAACTAACTAACTAACTAACTAACTAACTAACTAACTAACTAACTAACTAACTACTAACTAACTAACTAACTACTAACTAACTAACTAACTACTAACTAACTAACTAACTAACTAACTAACTACTAACTAACTAACTAACTAACTAACTAACTAACTAACTAACTAACTAACTAACTAACTAACTAACTAACTAACTAACTAACTAACTAACTAACTAACTAACTAACTAACTAACTAACTAACTAACTAACTAACTAACTAACTAACTAACTACTAACTAACTAACTAACTAACTAACTAACTAACTAACTAACTAACTAACTAACTAACTAACTAACTAACTACTAACTAACTAACTAACTAACTAACTACTAACTAACTAACTAACTAACTACTAACTAACTAACTAACTACTAACTAACTAACTAACTAACTAACTAACTAACTAACTAACTAACTAACTAACTAACTAACTAACTAACTAACTAACTAACTAACTACTAACTAACTAACTAACTAACTAACTAACTAACTAACTAACTAACTAACTAACTAACTAACTAACTAACTAACTAACTAACTAACTAACTAACTAACTAACTACTAACTAACTAACTAACTAACTAACTAACTAACTACTACTAACTAACTAACTAACTAACTAACTAACTAACTACTAACTAACTAACTAACTAACTACTAACTAACTAACTAACTAACTAACTAACTAACTAACTAACTAACTAACTAACTAACTAACTAACTAACTAACTAACTAACTAACTAACTAACTAACTAACTAACTAACTAACTAACTAACTAACTAACTAACTAACTACCTAACTAACTAACTAACTTACTAACTAACTAACTAACTAACTAAATTCAAAAGGTCTTCTTATTGTCACTTATCGGAACTTTTTGGCCTACTGGACCTCCAAGTCAAAGAGAGGAAAACTTTGTGGAATGTTAAAAAACTCTAAAAAAAACTAATAGCTTATGAATTGAAATTTCCCTTATACATGGTGTTCAGCGACTTCGAGATATTTTCGATACTTTACGACACAATGTCATACGGACTGCTTTTACTTGTAGAGGAATTTTTCCAAAACTACCCAGCAAAAACTTGGTAATGACTTGTACTTACAGAACCACTTACATATCGACGACTACTACATACCGTCTGCATTACTTTTAAGTACTTTTATAATGACTTGTAATAAGATACGTAAGTAGTTTGTTTTCAGTTTTGCAAATTTTATTTTATCGCTCGCTTGCAATTCTTTTTACATACACAGAAAGAAAATAGTTTTTCTGTGTGAAAACCATTATTTGACGCAAAATAAAGTAACTTAACAGGGGTTTTGTGAGTAGGACGGACAAGAAGCACTGGTTCGTATTTTTTGTGAGCAATTTTTTTTGTTGGTTTTTAAAACAAAACAACTTTTTGACAACATATTTGTAAGTACTTATTTAAGTTGTGATTTGTAAGCGAGAGTTGTAAGAATGAGATTACTTAAAATGCATTTAACATGGCCGAATGGCAGAAATCTTATAAATATGAGAAATATTTCATAATTGACATATGCATTCGTAGATATATTTAGTATCATTGCTAGTATAGGATATTATAAAGTGGAATATATTCTATTACACTTTGTTTTTTAATTTTAAAATTTTTTTAGTTCTTAACTGTTTTCTTCTTTAATAAATTTTTGAATACTAAAATACATTTATTAACATTTTTCCGAATTTAAATGATTTCTACAACATTAAATTGTCTTATTTATGTCAATGACAGTCTTATTTTACTTATCTCTCATTCAATCATTATTATTGGAAAATATTTATCAAAGGTAAAATATTAACACCACTTAACTTAAATATTTTTCTAAGAAGATATAATAAAGCCGAATTATTGCTCTATAAAGTTGAAGATGTTTAGCAGTATTATCCCCTTTACGAAAGAAATATGTTAGTTATGTGATGTCAACTTTTCAACATAGTTATAAATTCTATTCAAGTGTTTATTATTATTAGTGTTTAGTGTATTGTTGTTGTCATTATTTGACAAATGTTTGGTTACTTAACATTTTCTACTACATTTACTTTTTGCCGAAGATAAGGAGAAAAAAATTCCCTTCTTTTTCCATAGAAATGTAAAAAATAAATATTTGTCTAGTGTGTGTGTGTGTGTGGAACAAAGTGATACATTAAATTTATTATAACTCGTAATTCATATTAAATTTCTAATGTTTAATCGTTAATTTATGGAGTTATTCTTCGATACACATTTATTCATTATAAATAGATTGTTTGTTGGAGACAAATAAAAAAATTTGTCAGATACATATATAAATAGTATAAATGTTTATAAATGCACGGAAAGGGAATTGTTTATTTATTTATTTTTCTATTAATTTTTATTAGAACAATTAATTTAATATCAATTACTTTGTTTACGTTTCGTTTAAAGTGCCATCGATACATAAAATACCATAATGGAAATGATGAGACAGATAGATATTTAGTTAGATAAACGTATAGATAGCCAGACAAAAAGTCTGACAGACATGTATGTAGGAAGTGATAATTTGCACATTGGCCATGGATAGTGTTTTGTGTTAAATGAAGAAAAATTAATTGTTTGATATTTAATTAAAATAGACATTTGTTTGTTAAATTGATTAAAGAAAATGTTTAATAATTTAGAGTGTGAGCTATGGTGAGTTGAGAATACGTATAGAACTATAAGTGAGGATCAAAGAGATGGAATTGTAAATGACTCTGCTGTAGCAAGGTCCATTTTAAAATGTTGCTACTTAATATATATTATAAAATGTTACTTATTTTAATAAACATAATGACAAAAGTTAAAAAAAGAGGCCGGAATCCATTGTCTTTTCTAGAACTAGCGGGTTGTGTACATACTATTTAAGTCAGTCTATATACATATATACATTAGGTTTTACCTGGTTTTATGAAGAACATAAAAAAGGTATTGATATTCCTACTAAAAATTAAAGCTTGGTAACTGTAATACGCAACGTTTGATAAAAAAATTTCTCCACGGGACACCCTAATGTACATACATATTAGTATATATGTATTTGAATGTGCGAATTGGTTTGATTTTCTATTTATTTGTTAGTTAATTTTAATGCTCTTATTTTCCATTTATTTGATTTCATTTCAATCTTTGTTATTTTTATTTTGTTTAAACAAAGAAACTGTTTCAGTTTTTTAATGTTTATACCCTACACCATTTTAGTGGGGAGGGTATATTGGATTTGTGCTGATGTTTGTAACATATAAAAATATTCGTCCTAGACCCACCTTAAAGTATACCAATCGGCTTAGAATCGTTTTCTGAGTCGATTAAGCTATGTCCGTCCGTCCGTCTGGCTAGCTGGCTGTCCATGTAAACCTTGTGCGCAAGGTACAGGTCGCAATTTTCAAGATAATTGGATGAAATTTGGCACACACGTTTTATTTGACCCAAGGACGAAGCCTATTGAAAATGGTTAAAATCGATCCATTATTTCACCTAGCCCCAATAGAACAGAACCACCCGAAAAGGGCTTCTGAGCTCATAATATATCGATAAAATACGGCACAACTAAGTTTTATAGAAGTCTTGATGACTCTGCCAAATTTCATAAAGATCGGGCCCCATTTGACCCTAGCTCCCATACAAAGTCCCCTTCAGAAAATTACTTGAATGTTCCAAATTAACTTATAAACACAAATATACCGATGAAATTCAGCACAATAAAATATTATGTAAATATAAATATATTCACAAAATTTTATCGGGCTTGGTCCATATTTGCCCCTAGTCCCCATATAAAGCCTCTTTCAGAAAATTAGTTTTTCATCCATAAATTGCTTAAATGTATCGGAACAAGGGAATATTGGAGATAAATGCTTTATTATGAAAAATAAATCACATTTAATATTCATAACTGGGGTATCATATGGTCGGCCTCGCCCGACTATACTTTCTTACTTGTTTTTTATGGTTTTGTTTATACAGTTTCTTTCAAGTGATGTCAATGTTCGATTCTTTTCCATCTGTAGTCCCTGGAATGTATGTATGTAAAGTTATGAATGTTTGTTTGAATTGTAGTGTCAGCAAAATTTTTACATTCCACTCATTAACATCAAAAAGTGTTATAATTATACACTATACTTTTGTGAGAGGGGTATATATAAAATTGTCATTCCGTTTGTAATTTCTGTAATATAATTTTCCCACCTTATAAAGTACATATATATATATGCCGGGTTCTTATAGATAGTTGAGTCGATTAAGAAATGTCCGTCAGTCTGTCTGTGCTATATCCGATATTCGAATTTTCAATAATTCTATCAGCATATATATCTACGACTGAAATTTTAACCCTCTATATTTTTTGTTCAGACCCTATCGTTCTTTCAACAACCTGACAGACGGACGGACATGGATAG